GTGACTCACAATTTTATAATTTTCATAAAAAAAATCATTTCATTTCGAGGAAGAAGTTTTACCAAACCTAAAATCTCTTGGGCCTTCGGGTGGCTCCCTTTGGCCTTCTCCATGGGTTTCTTATTACAGGTGTGATTCTTTCTCTCGATCATCGCTATGTTGCTAGCGGTTGAAATATCATATTCTTTGGTGAGGCCCAAATTTATACAAATCTGTTCATGGAGGTCGATGGTGTATTTCATTATCATTGAGTGATTATCGAGGGAGATTCCTAGCGTCATCGCTTGTCAAAACTTGGTGGTATATTCTTGTCTTGTATGAGCCTTTTGAATCATGTCTATGGCACATCTTCATCGCCGTTGGTTCGAAGATAGGCTTTCCACCATGCGAGCATGTGTCTAGTCAACTTTAGTTATGTAGGCATCACCTTATCCTTGCTGTTATCATATAGATTAAAATAAGTGTCAAGTTTAATTATCTATGAGTCTAATACCTCAGCATTGATCGAGCTATCGTAGGAAAGTATGTCGATGCGAGTCTCGACTTGAAATGGTCGTGTGCTTGCTGCGATGTTCTGTAGCATTTTCTCCATGACCTGTGCATCTTGGATGAGGATGCTTTCTCTCCTTTGCTGTGACGTTCTTTACCTGGTCATCCTTCGTTGTTGGATTGACTTAGGCTTGCATCTAACCCATCACAATCTCTATATGCTAGGTTAATATCGTCATCTAGATAGTAGGGCCATTCTAGACTGTCGGGGTGTTGGTCACCATCCCATCAGTGGTTCTTCCTCCAAGTGAGCATGGCTCAAACTTCAAATCCTATAGCTCTTTTCTAGAGGTTCGGTATCCTTGTCTAGTGGTAACCCACAAGCGAGGGATCATTGTTCTAATTCCACTTGATTTGTATGAGATTTGGGTTCGATGATCTGTCGATCTGATGCAACTCTCAGATGGAAGTTTTGGCAGAGGAGAGGACTATCGATAGAAGATCAAGTGTAAAACCAAATAATATGTCTATTGCTTATAAAGTTGAAGCACTAACTACAAAGCTTTAAACATCAGAATGGAAGTGCGATAAGAGACTAATAGGTGTGTAAGAATGCAAGTTGTCTTTGGATGGGTGCTCTTGGCAGATTGCGGATAACTACAAGTTTCGATCTCCTCGTCCTCTATTGCTGCTGGAACCTCTTCATGAGATTTGGACAACAGGTGGTAGGGCTTCGGGTTTTCTCACAGCAGCTAGATGAAACTATGATAAGAGACATTGGTTGTTGGAACTCGAGGAAGAAGGGGCTGCGGTTGTAGGGCATAACTCTTTTATGAACTCTTCCTTTGGCTCTCGGCGCAAGCTAGAACTAGGGCCGGTTGGGGCTGCTTCTTGGCTGCCTTGGGGTCTTCTTCTTATAGCTATTACCAAAGGTCTCTTTGGAAGTTATTAAGGCTAGCAGCAACTCAAAATAGATTTTTGTAGTAAGGTAGCTGCAAACAGGAAGAAAGGTTGCTAAATTTGCAAACTCCTTCCTCTCTCTCTCCTCTCTTCTCAGCCTAGGGTTGGCTGGGCACTAAGAGGGCATTACTTGGATTGCTTTCAAGGGGGCTACAGCCCTTTAGATTTATAAGATTTAGGGCATTCAAAGTCCTAATCTGATTAGGACTTCTCCTTAGCTCCTTTCAACCGCAGGAGTCTTCTGTTGGAGGCTGTCCCAATCCTAGTCCTACTAGGATTGGGATTGAGCTGACTTGGGGATGCTACGGCTCTTCTCTCTCTTTTATAGCTAAGGTAGGGTTGGAGTCCCAGCTAGGTTAGGACTTGTAGAGTCCTACTGTAATTAGGACTTATAGGATCCTATGCCTTTAGGACTTAGAGAATCCTAATGTCTTTAGGACTTGGAGAGTCTTAATGCATTTAGGACTTGGGTCTGACTTGAATCTGGTCTTTGAGCTTGGATTCCAGCTTAACCTTAGTTTGGTTTGATCAGGATCGAATTGGAGTCCAATTGGAAATCCAATTGGGCCGAATTGGAGTTTGGCTCGAACTGTGCTAGATCTCCTTAATCACCTTGTATATATGTTGATGCGCCAATGAGGCACAGAAGTCAGCTTTAAGGTCTAGGTTGGCATCATCATCGTGACCCTTGTACTGATCATAGATCGGTTCCTCCTTAGCATGCCAATGCTCGTCTTCTTGTTCAACTTGCTTCTATAGATCAGTTCCTCCATCGCTGAATTTTCTTCTAATATCTAGAAGAGCCTTGAGGCATTTTACAATGTCGGAAAATCCCTTGCCTGTATGTTGCTTCAGATGGATTATTTCTCCACCCTGATCGATGTTGTAGTAATGTTTGCACTGTTAATGATAGTGGTACCTTAAACAATGGGCGTGATTCCAAGTTGGATCTCCTTATTGTTGCTTTAGGGTCATTTTCCTACAAATATCATAATCAAGTGGCAATAAGCAAGCTGTAATTAGCCCTAAATTAGACCTAATGACCCTTAATTGGGTCAAAATGTAAGAAAACAATACTAATTAAGGCTACATTATACTTAATGACCCCTAATTGGGACTAAACCAATCAAAATAACACTAACTAACTGTAATTATACCTTAAGCTTATTAAATATAAGAAAAGACATTTAATCAACCAATAAATTCATAGGCAAACAACTAAGAATAAGCTATAATTAGCCTAAATTAGACCTAATGACCCTTAATTAGGTCAAAAAGTAAGAATTGATACTATTTATGTCTAATTAGACTTTATGACATTAAAATACAAGAAAAAAAATTTAATCAACCAATAAATTTATAATCAAACAACTATTAACAAGCTGGGCCTGAATTATATCTAGTGACTGCTAATTGGGCCTAAACCAATCAAATTGACACTAACTAATTCTAATAAATCACAGTAAATACAATACAAAAGCACTTAATCAACTAATGATTTCATAATAAAAAAACGAATAACAATTATGATTAGGCCTAAATATCATCAATTGGGGGCTAAATGGAATGAATGGACCTAATTGGGATGCAACATATGACCTTGATCATGTTTAGTCTTTGTAAATATGCATTAATATGTTTATAATTATTGAAATGATAAATTAAATATATAAAGAACCTAAATACTTTTAATTTGAGAGAAATTCCATCACATCTGAGTCCCAATACCATTAATTAGGAAGTTTAATCACAAGTGAGAGGGAAAAAAAGTGTGAATGAGAGAGTGAGAGTGAGTGAAAGGGGGGGAGGGAGGAGGATTTAAAGCCCAAAAGAAGCCCCAATAGTCAATTTGACCATATTGAAATTCGACCGTGTCGATGGGTAACGGTCTAGTTTCATCCCATATTGATCAATAAACCACCGAAACGGACTGGTCTGAATATTGGTCAATTGGCAAACCGGTATGTGCTACTCATTTCGTACCGTTTTGGGCCGTCTTTGATCTCACATAGAAGATAGGGATATTTTCTCATGAGGACGTCAAGTATGATGTAAAGTCAAGGATTGCAACCTGAATTTTGATCAGCTAGCAAACTAGTATGATATATCAGTGTTAATGAGATTTCAGCATGTCAACATAGGCAACTAGCCAAAGGAAAGTTGAGGAAAAAGGGAGGAAATCTGTGTCTGAAGACTCTGAACAACCAAAATATATTAAATATCTTTTCTTTTTGCTTGTGTCTTGCATTGCAGCTTGAACTGTTACAGGATTTTGAGGCCTTTGGGGATTTGATCCACAGAACTAGAGTGTTAAACCTTTCTTTCACTAAACTGCCAGACCTGTTCAAATTTAGACCTGCCTATGCAAACATTCAAAGAAGGGGCTAATTTAAGGGTTTTAACACTTATCACTTCATATGCAAAACTTAAGTGTAACAATGATGCCTTTATAAGTGCAATAGCAAATATTCACCAATCTTTGAAATATACACAAATATAAAAACAAGGGTTGCGATTCTGTACTGGATACTGTATTGGTCCTTGGCCAGACTGATACATACATCGGTTACTGGTGTACTGACACATGGTACACTGTACCAAGAAGGAGAAAGAAGAAGAAGGGGAAGAAAGAAGAGGTGGAGGCGGAGGTGGAGGTGGAGGAAGAAGAAGGATGAAGAGGATGAAGTGAAGGAAGAGGAAGGAAGAAGAGGAGGCGGTTTAGGAAGAGAAAGAAAGAAGATGTGGCGATGGGGGAAGGAGAAAGAGGAAGGAAGAAGACGAGACGATGAAGGAAGAGGAAGGAACAAGAGGAGACATAGGAGAAAGAGGAAGGAAGAAGCTGAGGCAGGTTAGGAAGAGGAGAAGATGAATGTATCAGTTGGTGATGCATGATGGGTGATGGGGAGGTAGGCAACGACAAGAGATCGTGCATCAAGGCTCATGATTAGGGTGACTAGGGTGAAAAAGTTTTTTTTTTTTTCTTTCATATATGTTTAAACCAAATCACTCGAAATGAGCTGGGTCCACATATCGATTCGGACTAGTACATACCAGTTGGGTCCATACCAGTCCAGGCGAAAAGAAGTTCCTTGTATAAAAACATAACATTGTTTCTCAGTATTGTTGTGGCACAAACATAAAATTAGGGAGTAAGTTAAATTTCCAATTTACATACATATTATCATTATTTGACATAATCCTGAAGCCTTGTGAAGATGATTTAATTGTCCAATATTTACATATAATACTGTATGTAAATTGTACAAGAGTTATACTTGAAATTGTACAAGAGTTATATTTGAACTATTAGACACATGTCAAGTAGTATCCATTGAGTATTGGTGTTCAACAGGGACATAACATGGACACCACAAGCTCTTTGAAGTGTTTGTGCTTCAAAGGATATCCATATGAAGTCCTTAAGATTCTGTATAAGCATGTCTTCTGAGTTGTTTAAATAGTATACCACATTGGATTTTAGTCTATAGTATTGTATGCTTTAGTTTCATCAAACTATGTCATTTTTTTACTAATTCAGGTTGTTAATGCAGGATGGCATACATACTTTTGGTTGTCTTTCTTGCCTCTTATTGTAAGTATACTGAACTCAGTAAAACCAATAGATATGTGCCAACACATTGTTAATAACTCAAATCTCTGTGAAGGTTTAAGTAGTTTGTAGCATATGCGGACTGGAACGATAAAAGAGCAGCAAATATTTTTGTTTCATCGTATAAGGGTGTGTTGGTTACTTTTTACTATGGAATGATTCTTGCTATGCTGGTTGGTTTGCCCTTGTGCAGACCGGGATACACTAAGTATTGGCCCAGTCATATGTCACTATTGCTAGCATGGGTCAGCCTATTAAGTCGTGCTTCCACATGTTGATCGGCATAAGAATCGTTGAAGAACAGTTGATGTATTTGCATTTAAATGATCAATATATAATTATTCAATTATCTAGAATTGATTAGACAAAATGCAGCTTTTGCTTGTTGTTGGCGCAAAGCTGGATCACATCATAACTAAGCTGGCTCTTGAGCTACAAGAAAAGCCTCGAGGTCCTAAAGGAGAAACACAACATGTGAAGCTATCTAACGAGCATTTTTGGTTCAAGAAACCTGGAATTGTCCTTTACTTGATACAGTTCATCTTATTCCAGAATTCTTTTGAGATTGCCTTTTTCTTCTGGATCTGGGTGAGTCAATTATACAATTACTTTTCCTGCAATCGTCTTCTTTGCCACTTATTAGTCACAAACCATGCAGAGCACTTACGGATTTCACTCATGTATCATGGAAGGTTTGGGTTACCTCATTCCAAGACTTGTCATTGGGTAATAAACTCCTACTTTCCTCCTAGTTTTTCCTGGTGTATTAACTCTTTGACAAACAATTGGATCATTTGTATGTGCAGTGTTATCATTCAGGTTCTCTGCAGCTATAGCACTCTTCCTCTGTATGCCATTGTCACCCAGGTAAACACATATATCAGCTTCACTACTCACAATAAGTGCTCTTTTGCTGGATTGAAGTTTTGTTCTCAGTTATTAAATTCCTCATGTTCAGATGGGTGAGGGGTTCAAAGAGTCTATTTTTAATGCAACCGTCCAGCATACACTGCATGATTGGGCAACACAAGTTAAAGAAAAAAGGAAGCATCAATATGGTTTTCTGTCATTTCTGAATTTTCATCGAAAGGACAAGAAGAATAACAATGAGATTCAGATGCAGACCTTGGCATCCAGAGCCGCTGAAGCATCTCACGGTATTCAGCAATCAGCTTCCTTGCAAGAGATTGTTGTGGAAGACCTACATGCTGTCTAGCTCAGCATCCTTTAAAATTGAGTCGATCTCAAATGCCCCAATTACTTGTCTCGAATAGGGTGTAGGCCTGCGGAGGAAAAATTGTCTGCATTTTCCATGATGTTTCTCTTCAATAACATGTTTCTTTTGACCACCTGTCAGTCAGAAATGATCTATTGGTACCTGACAAATATTGGTTACCAAATAGTTGGTGGTTATGACCAAATGATCTAAGTCAAGACATACTGGTTTTGCAAAAAGGCTTACAGCTGGGCTTTCAACAACTACAATCCTCCCGTTTGAGAGATACAGCTGGATTTCTGTCCTGGACTGAAGAAGTGTGTTATAAAAAACATGTCTTCTCATCTTCATCTCATAGTTGCATGGTTTGTAGTTCATTAGAGGGGACTAAGAGGTAGTTTTCCGATTCAGATGAATCATAATGATTATGTTAGATGAGAAAATCTTGTTCCCTGCAATCTGTGTTTACTACATCAGTTTCGTTGCCACTGGTCATGAATAGTAAATGCGCCTTTGAAACTACATGCATCTTTTTTCGACTAACTTCTCGATACTATGTTGATTTGAAACTGTTAGATAATGTGATTCCTCGTTGAGTATTACCTTCCTCAGCAGATCTGATCATGGTATGGTCGTGTGAAGATGATTTAAATTCGAGGACTAATCTCTCTGAATCCATGATCAGAAGTGTGTTGATTTTATGATTTACATAGATCTAGGTAAAGATATCCTTTTTGTCTGGAGAACATGGATGGAGAACAACTTGAACACATGGTGTTCACACTTTTTCTGGAGTTGATTTATGATGTTTGGAATATGAGTAGATGCTCAAATGGTCCCAATAGTTGTAGATTGCCTTTGGATGCATGCATGCATGCATATTAAACAAGCTAGCTTCACATGGGGTGGAAAAAAATGAAGACTATTATTGTCAAGTAGAACAAAGTATGATTCTACCTGAATCACGTAGTTACATCAACTGTAGAATAATAATATAATTTTTATATCATGATCTATCAATATAAATTATTATAATAGAATTCAATGAGATAATTGACTGACTCATTAAATTGAGATGCCCTAAATCATATGGATCCATCTATTAACCTAAATCTTCCTTCCCCTAAATCATATGATCCATCTATTAACCTAAATCTTCCTTCCCCTAAATCATATGGATCCATCTATTAACCTAAATCTTCCATCCCCTAAATCATATGGATCCATCTATTAACCTAAATCTTCCTTCCCCTAAATCATATGGATCCATCTATTAACCTAAATCTTCCTTCCTCTAAATCATATGGATCCATCTATTAACCTAAATCTTCCTTCCCCTAAATCATAATCATATGGATCCATCTATTAACCTAAATCTTCTTTCCCCTAAATCATAATCATATGGATCCATCTATTAACCTAAATCTTCCTTCCCCTAAATCATAATCATATGGATCCATCTATTAACCTAAATCTTCCTTCCACTTACTTGCTATAAATTCAATGGACTAAATATGAATTATCATGATCTAATTGGATGAGATAATTAATGCATATCCATCTAATACCGCATTGACAAACTATGTTGTACGGTGCGTGCAGACTTGTCAGTGCCAATGCCCAATTGATATGCATCTAATTATTTATTTATGTTTTCGTTTTTTTTAGCTCATTCATCATCAAGAGAGAGGTGTCTGTATCTACGCCCAATTGATACGCGTATTTTATTTGGTATTCCAACCGTACTAGTCTCGTTAGTATACGTTTGAGAGCATCGAGACGACGAGCGAGAGGAAGACCCCTTTACCGGCCCTCCTTCTGTGCTCTCTCCGATTCGAACCCTAGCAAACCAAGCGGATGATCTCCTTCTCCCGCTTTCCATTCTCCTACGATTTCTCGAAATCTTCCATTCTTCTCGCTGCTGCCCGCAATCGCCCGGACGCATATCTCCTCTCCTCCCGCCCCGCCCCTAAATCGATTTCGACCAGGAAAACCCTCCACGAATTGGGCGCTCGGTTGCCCTTCGCCCCGCCTTGCAGGCCCTCCTACCACGTGAGAAGTGGATATTCGTTGAGAAGCCGGCGCCTTGGTGGGTCTTCCATTGTGGTTCGAATCTAGGGCATTCGTGGGTTGAAGAAAAGTCGCGTCTTTACGTTTGTCGCGCGCCTTTCCTCGATTGGTTCTCGGACTACTCGGCGTTGGGACCGTAGGGTTTGCTTCTGTTTAATCCCGGGGTTCAATTCTAACTGCTGGGCTCTGCTTTCTTGGAACTATACGGTGAATGGTGAGCTTTTGTGCTTGTGGGGTATTCAGTAGCTTGTGAGCGGTTGGGAGTGGCTTTTCGCAGCTGAATTAGATTTGGTGAACTGAGTTGAGGTTGCAATCCAAATGGAGAGGGTGCTGGGGTGAGCAGGGGAATGAGGTAGTTATCGGAAGAGAGATGAAGTGGATATGAGTAGGCTGTCATTCCGGCCTCGTCCTCTTGACATCCACAAGAAGCTCCCTGTTGTAAAATCTGTTAAAGATTTTGAGGATGATGAGGCACCTACTATCACCACTTCCACCCGAAACTCTCTGCCACATCGGCTTGCAGCTAACAATGACAATGAGGTGATTCTGAATTTTTCTGCAAATGTATGATCATGTGGCATGCTAACAGCGGTCGCTACTCAAGTAGACTCGTAATTAGCTACTTGAACATTAAGCAAGCATCATATGAAGGAGCTATCTTTGCCCAGTGTATTTGAACTCAACAGCTAAACACTTTATCTAAACACTGTGGAGATGTTTTAAGTTTTGATGTTGTTCAAGTGAAATTTTGATAAGAAGGAAAGCTTGTGCTCTACTATAAATGAGTTATTTTGGAGATCTTCTAGTGCTTATATGGAGGGCTTACTGTAAGTGTCAAATAACATGTCTAAACTTTTTGTTCTTTATGATGGCAGAGTTATAAGTTATTTTTATGCATGACCTTGCAAACTTATTTAGTTTTGTTATTTTTCACTTGTGTACCGACAGAACAATATATATTTCCTTATTGATTAGCCATCTCTGTGGTTGCAAAAAGTGGTCAAAAATAACTTGAGAATTGTTAAAATGAAGTAGAGTACTTTAATCTATGAAATGCTACTTTGCATCTTTCAGGATTATGACATTCTTTTTATAGTCTCAAATTGTGATTATGAGCACTTTTTTCTGTTTTTTCATAATTTAGCAAGTTTCTAATTAATTAGCCATGTCTATGGTTGCAAAAGGAGGTCAAAACAGCTTGCTGATTGTCAAAATGAAGCAGAGTACTTTTGAAATACAAAATGCTAAGGTCTGCGCCTCCCAGGATTGTGAACAATCTTTGTTTAGTATCAAATTGTGGTTATGAACACTTTTATCTCGTAATATATACTTTAGCAACATATGCATCTCTATTGATAGGGTATTATAGACTTCCTATTTGAGGTAAGAAACCTTTTGAAAACAATATTTGCTTTTTTTAGGCGAATCAAACTCCTGGCAAGAAAAGTTCACAAGAAATTCCTACTCCTCAATTCAACACTGTGGAATCATACGAAAGAGATTATTCTCGCACCTTCATTCAAACTGCATCTTATATACGTGGAAGAGGAGGTTTGCCACTACTTTCTGACATGTGTCACTACAAACAAAATATTCTACATACATCTCACATGACAACATTTATGAAGTACTTATTTCTCTTTGCAGCCAGGGCTGAGATTGGTGAATTTGTTGAGTATGATCTGGATAATGAGGATGAAGACTGGCTTGAAGGGTTTAACAATGAAAGGAAGATTCTTTCATCTGAAAAGTAATGATTAAACTCAAAGATCTAAATGATTGAAAATCTTTTTACAGATTTAGTAACCATTATATGCTTGTGTCTTTTTGTACTTCATTGCTCTGCGGTTTCTATGTGTGAATTTTGTACAAAGTTCATCTGAAGTTTTTGTATGTTGAAATTAATTTTTAGTTAACTAGAATATTACTACCATTCATTCAAGGTGGAAGCCACCTCTTCCTGAACTTTTAACCTTCTATCGAGTCATTGGATCTAAATTATAAACTTCAAATAGGTAGCAGAGTTCCAACATATTGCAATATAAGTAGTCAATTAATATAATGAAATATATGCATACTCACCTCTCCGGTTTAGCTGAATTGCAACTCCATAATCTCTATTATATTTTCTTTTGCAGAAAATATATTTTGGTTATTCCAGACCTTTTTCTTTTCTCTTTATAAGAGTGAACTCTTCCACCTTTAGTCGAGAAGCTATATATTCCTAGTCACATACAATAAACAAGAAAGTAGTGCACTATTCAGTGTCAGAATTACCTTGCCAAGTCAGCAACCTTTGGCTGGTGTTGCTGGACTTTGAGATGCTTTGATTCATGTGGAGCATTACAGCTAGTAGACTTATCAGCTCAGTGAACTACTGGCAGCACATGGGAGTATGATCTTTATGTGGCCATGGGACAAACTTTCATCTTTGTTCTATATTTTCATATTTATTAATAAAAAAATGCTACACTACTTAAAGTTTTGACAGATTGTAACTTTTCCTCCACAAAAACTCTATAATACATGCTGTGTATATGGTGTCTAGATTTATCTAAGTATGCCTATTTCCCTTCTCTTACTAATTTTCATATGCTTTTATTTGCTTTCTTCCAGGTTTGAGACCCTTCTCTTCAAGTTAGAAGTTTTAGATCATAAAGCTCGAGAAAGAGCAGGAGTTATAACGCCTACCTTTGGAGCTCCAATTCTTGTTCTTTTATCGCTTGATGCCGCAGCGGAGGTCAACGATTCTCATTTTTTGACCTTATTTAGTTATTCATGTCGAGTCTGACTGATTCTCTTATACTAGCTAGATTGACTTGTGATTTATTTAATCAGGATTTTTTAGTATTGATTTCTATATCAGCTATGGACTAGGTTGGCTTTTTATGGCCTTGATTTTAATACAATTAGTTTATTTATTTATTTATTATTATATTTGATGCCTTAAATGAATTTGTGCATGGGAACTTACTGAAGTTACATGAAAAAATTCATTGCTAGGCTTAGGCTTGCTTACTGAGGTGTGCACCAAGCTTTTTTTTCACACTTTCTGTTGATAAGAAGATATTTAGGGTGTGATATTCTCATTTGTCCTCATTGGATTTGGTTGAGTTGGTGTATCTGACTACATATCTAACTTTAGTAATTTGGGCTGAATCAGTGATTGAAAGAGGCGCTCGGGCGCTCGCCTAGGCGCTCGGGCGAGGCGAGGCGAGGCCCGAGCGCCTCGCTAATGTCCTAGGCGGCGCGCTTCAAACAGGCGTCGCCTGGGCGCTTGCCCGAGCCCAGGCGCTGGGCGCTTCGGGCGAGCGCCTGGGTAAACCAAGTGACCGAACCAGGATTTTAGGTCTAGTTCGGTTGTTAGTTGGTTCAATCGAACCAACTAAACCGATATAACCCTTACCCAACCCTAACCCGCTGCCGCTGCCGCTGCCGCTCCCGATCTCGCTGCTCGTCGCTCCTGCTCCCGCTGCCGCTGCT